CGAAAAAGAACTGAGAGACAAATTTATTTCTCTCTGGGATAACTGGATTTCTGAAGTCTCCTCTGCTGTTCCCCGTCTGGAAAAGGTCGATATCGATCTGGAGAAAGAAGGAGTCCTTCTAGATCACTTTAAGGAGCCAAAATTGCATGAAAGAATCAGCATACTTCCCAGATGCAAAGAATTTTCTGTTGACTGTGAGAAACATGTCGCTAAGAAAAAAAGGTTTGGGATCTTGAGTATCGATGATGTCGAAAACAGCACAATACACCGCATTACAGAGAACATCAAAGGCTACTGGAAGGCAAACGTTGAGAAGAAGGAAAAAGTGAAAAAGGATTGCGACCAAAGTTTTATCCGTGAAATACGAAACAAAGTACAGAAAGGTATAAACTCTGTCCCTGACAGTGCAAATTACAGTTTTAACAAAGATTCCGCGATAGATTCGTCGCTGTATCTCTGCGGAATAGCCGCAGAGAGGTTTAAAGCCATGCACTCGGCATTCAGGAAAGCAAATCATCCCGCTGTCTACCTGGAGAGCAAGAGAGAAGATTTCTTTACCTGTTTCCAGATTTCCTGCCAAGGAGCCACTTCTGTCACAACATTTGCCATTTTCCTGTGTGACAAGATTGCCCCAGCTCTCCGGCAGGCGGTCTATGAGAGGACAGCTCTTGCCATAGCTCGAGACATGAAGGCTAAAGTCCCAGATTTCAGGGGCAACAGGGCCTCCCTGGAAGTTTGCCTGCTGAGGTACCTGGCAGAAGAAGAAAACTTTTGGTTTTTCAAGATGTACCTTGATAGCCCACGTGATTTCTTACAGAGTTACATTTGGAAGTGTGTTGAGGAGTTCTGCTCTGAGAACAGGAGGCTGGAGACGTTTTTAGAGGACTCCCTCACCCTCTGCTACGAATGCATCCTCTCAGCTGTTTCTGCATCAACCAAGGTTGTCAAAGACCGAATAGACAGAAATGACAAAATCTCTCTTTGGCTGGATGCATTTTGCCAGGAACTTGGAGAGGTGCTAAGCTTGCCCAGAAGGGACCTGAAGGGCATCGAGCACCAGGAGGTAACAGACATAGAGTTCCTGAATAACGCCATGACAGAATCGCTGTCTGCCATGAAGGACCAGCTCAAGAAGGAGCTCGCTACGGCTGACATGAGCTCCCTTGAAAGGCAGCCTCACGAAATCCTGGCGGAGCAGTTTTCGGGGTGCTGGGAGCAGTGTCCCTTTTGTGGGGCTCTCTGCACAAACACCATGCCGAACCATGATGGGGACCACCAGCTCCTCTTCCATCGGCCACAAGTTTTGGGGGGATACAAGTGGGATAAGACGGACGATCTATCCATCAATATTTGCTCTAGTCTCGTCACAAGTAACTGTTCATTCAGGATCGGTGGAGACAAATGGATGCCCTACAAGAGATACCGGGATGCAGGACCTCCTTTTTCCACTTGGAAGATTCTTCCTGATACATCCATACAAGCGTACTGGAAATGGTTTGTGTCTCATTTCCGGGCAGACCTAGAAAGATTTTATGATGGGAAATTTCAAGGCAAAGGAGCAATCCCTGATTCGTGGCAGAGTATAACAAAGCAGCAAGCACTTGACGAGCTGGAGAAGCATTAGGTCGGGTCGATATGAAGGAAGAACCACAACCTCTGCGTTTTAGAAGAATGTGGTACAAGTCTATCCACAAAATATTGTTATCATGACTGCAACCAAAACCACACTAAGAAAATGATGTTTAATTGCTCACAAAGTTGAGTGAAATAAGGTGAGATACTCCTACCATCATCCAAAAACTCTCTTCCTTCATGCTTAAATCAATACCCTCTTCCTTTCTTGCCATAAGCCTTTACCTCTGCTTTGTCTTAGAGAAAAAACCCCAAAACCCCATCCCCTGCAGAGAGCAGTCATATGGCCAAGATGAAGACCAAATGGCCAGTGAAGAGCAACAAAGCACATGGGCCTGCTGAACTTTCCTCCTGCTCTTAGCCATGGTGGCGACTCCTCCTGCCATTTGCTTTGCTTTTGAGCAAAAAACTTCTGTATGGCAGATCTGGAGAATTCTGTGTCTTTGCAGCTTCCTCAGCAGCCATCGGTGGTGTGTGACGTTAGCGTTGGTGCCATCAGGACAGGCTGCTGGCAACAGAGCCATGGTCTGGAGAACATGGAACCAGCTGGGACGGCACCACTGAGGTGGTCGGTGGCCTTTGCTGCTGGAAATCCAAGAGCCAAACCCTCCCGTAGAGTTGCTACAGTGGCGATTCCAGAATAATCCCTTGCAGTCTTTGCTAATAAAGTAGTTGAGTGGGACTGGACTGGTCTCTGTGTCCTTTATTTTCAGGTTGAGTGAGACTTCGGGGTTAGTGTGGTGGAGACAGGCGGGTGATGACTGGGTCCGTGGAAGGGTGTGTGGGAGGAGAGTGTCTGCTCCTTTCAGGGGGTCTGGTCGAGGACCTTCTTTGGTGTCTCAAGGGATAATGTGAAGGGGAGGATGCCATCCAGAAGAACATGTGGTGAAACAAATCTGCCCGAGAAAGGGTCAGGGGGGCAGTGGTGGGAACCAGGCCTGGTCGGTCACACTGACTGAGGAGCGAGAGGGCGAGAAGGTTTGTTCCAGGGCTGTGAAGTGATCAGGTCAACTGGGAAACCAAGGGAAAAAAGGGGAAACCAAATCCAAAATACACCAAAAAAAAAAGGACAGGCCATTGTTGTAGGCAACTCCATCCCAAAGGGAGCTGGAGGCCCGACATGCAGACCTGCTGACCCACTTCTCAGGGAGCTCTGCTGCCTCCCCTGGGCCCGGGTGAAAGACAGAAAAAGAGAACTTCCCTCCCTGGTAGGCCCCTCAGATTATGACCCCTTACTCATTGTTCAGGCAGGCAGAGACAAGCTGTTAACAAGAAACCCAAGGGCCATCAAAAGAGACTTCTGGGCCTTGGGACAAGCGGTCAAGGCATCAGGAACACGGGTCGCGTTCTCCTCGGTCATCCCAGTGGCAGGGAAGCACAAGGAAAGTAACCAGAAGAGCCAGCAGATCAATGCCTGGCTCCGAGCCTGCTGTCAGAGGCACAACTTTGGGCTTTGTGAGCACAGGAAGGTTTACATGACACCAGGCCTGCTGGAGACAGATGGGGCACACCTGTCTCAAAAGGGGAAGCGGGTCTTTGCACAGGAGCTGGCAGGGCTCATCAAAGGGTCTTCAAACAAAGTTTGAAGGGGGAAGGGCTGGAATCCATCGGTGGAGACACAAGGGCCATCCATGGCTTAGGAACTATGGCTGTGGCTGGGAATGCTCAGGTAGAGGTTAGGCCTTCCTACACCCAAAAGGTGGTGGGACCAGCAGCCCAGCTGAAGTGCTTTTACACTAATGCAGGCAGCATGGGCAACAAACAGGAGGAGATGGAAGCCCTTGTGCGGCAGGAACACTGTGAGGGAGTCACCATCACGGAAACGTGGTGGGATGGCTTGCACGACTGGAGTGCTGCAATGGATGGCTACAAACTCTTCAGAAGGGACAGGCAGGGACAGAGAGGAAGAGGGGTGGCCCTGTGTGTCAGGGAGGGTTATGAATGTTGAGCACTAATTGAGGGTAATAGTAGGGTTGAGTGCCTTTAGGCAAGAATGAGGGGGAGAGCCAGCAAGGCTGATGTCATGGTGGGAGTCCATTATAGATCAGCCAACCAGGATGTTGAGGCAGATGAAATATTCATGGCTGGAGGCCATCTTGGGCACAGTGACCGTAACATGACAAAGTTCTCGATTCTCAGGGAAGCAAGGAGGGGAACCAGCAGGACTGCTGTCATGGACAAGCAGAGGGCAACAGCCTGCTCAACAGAGCCCCTTGGGAGGCAGCCCTGAAGGGCAAAGGAGTCCGGGAAGGCTGGGATGGTTTTCAAAGAGGAAGCCTTAAAAGCACAGGAGCAGGCCATCCCTGTGTGCAGGAAAGCGAGCCATCAGGGGAACAGGCCAGCCTGGCTGAACAGAGAGATATTGTCACAACTCAGGGAAAAAAGGAGAGTTTATGGCCTTTGGAAAAAGGGGCAGGCTGCTCAGGAAGATTACAAAGGCATGGTAAGGCTATGTAAGGAAAAGATTAGAAAGGGCAAAGCCCAACTAGAACTTAACCTGGCTGTGTGAGCCGATGCAGGCAGGACGCAGGAACAATCACAAAACCATGGATTAAGGGCAAAGAACAAATTTCATCTCAATATCTCATGGATCTGGGAACCTCAGAAGCAGCACCCGGGCAGAGGCAGCAAGCAGGGGACACAGGCACCACAGAGCAAGAGTCCTTATTAGCAAGAGAGTCCTCGTTAGGTAGGGAGTGAGGGAGCGAGGGAGCTCTCACTTGCTGTTTAGGGCTGTATTTCAAGGATTCTGTCCAGCAGAGCTTTCTGCTGGGCTTTGATCTCTCCAACAGCAGGGCAGGAATCTCAGGCGGGTTTGATAAGGTGCCCCTGAGCCCATCCCAGCCTGTGTTATCTGAGTGCAGGTGTTCTACTTGTTGAGCACACAAAACTAAGCAACAATGAATGTGATAGATGTGTTTTCCAGCACCCCACATGCGAGTCACTTGAGCGTATTTACAGTCCTCCTTGCCAATCTTCAGTTACATTCCCACATGGACCTTGGATTATAAAAACAATAAAAAGAATTTCTATAAATATATTAGTAACAAAAGGAGGACTCGGGAGAATCTCCATCCTCTGTTGGATGTGGGAGGTTAACAGAGTGACAAAGGATGAGGAGAAGGTCAAGGTACTTAATGCTTTCTTTGCCTCAGTCTTCAGTGGTAGAGTTGGTTATTTCCTGAGTACCCAGACCCCTGAGCTAGCAG